ATAATTTATTAGCGGGTTTCATGAGAAAAATGAATGTAATTTAATATTATTAGTTCTCGTTTAAACTTATATGTTAATTTGTTTTAAATATATTACTATCATATTGATAGGTAAAATGCGAATGAAAATCGAATCGAGTCACAAATTATGGTTTGGTTCGAAAAAATTCTAAACGGCATTAAATGATTTGAATTGAAAATATGGTATAAACCGTTAATAGGAATGTAAAACGCATATTTTTTCCTCCTTATTTTATGTGCTTGTATGATTAATCAATGTCAAAATGTATTCATTACGTGCATATTTTGATTTAGGTGGCAATTCGATGGAGATAACATAATTTGAAAGAAATATGTGAAAAAGATCAAGTGAAAGGAAATGAAAGTTCAAGAACTAACGTGAAAATACACAAAGTTTGTGTCGAACCAAATGATAAAAATTTGAGAGTGTTAGAAATCAATTGAATGAAGAAAGAAGTCAGAGTAGGATCACACATCAATTTCCAATCGAAAAGTTATGCATCGGATTTTCAATCTCTATTTGAGATCCATTTTTGACATAGAAAACGATCAAACTGGAAGATTGTATCTGAATCAAAGTTGTAGCCATTTGAGTTAGATTTCCAACGCATTTTGAATTAGCTTAATCGGATACCTGTGGAGAAAGTTATGACCAAAATACCGAACACTGTTAAAAAACAAACCTGCACACGCGCACACAAATTATCTCGCGCGCACACGAGCATGAATTTTACTTACCGAACCTAAAACTAATGAATGGCGTGCACGCAAGGAAATATACGGTGCACGCGCACAGACTTTTTCACAAACGAATCTTCAGTTTCCGAATTTAAGTCTACCTATGAAAAGAACTATAAATACATATTTTAAAACCCTAGAACGGGAGAAGAACGTACAGAATGCCTCCAAACTCCATTCTTCATTATTTCTCTCTTTAATTCATGAATTGTAACTAAACTTTTACACTTGATTGAAGGAAATTGAAGCCTCAGAACCACATATTGTGAGATCTAAATAGTTTTTCTTATTGTTTAATTCTTATTTTGCGTATTGAATATTTTTATGCATTTATTTTCATGATTGTTGTGTTTAATTGTTAGGAGGCCTACTAATTTGTTATTCTTACAACCTAACGTTAAGTTAAATATCAAATCCGTAATTGTTTGATTCATTTAACTTGTGAAGCACAAAGATTTGATGATTTTCTGTAATAGGGGTTATTGAGTTTTAAGAAGAATATTTAAATAGATTGAATGCAACCGATAGTGTTTGTGTTATCTAGTTCATCGATTTCTCTATTGTGTAAAGTTGTTATATAATTGAATCTTGAGTGCTGGTCTAAGGTTATTTAATAATTAGGATTAATTAAAACGTTGGTTTCTAACTAACTAAAATTAAGGAGAAATATGAATCAATTCCAACGATGAATATTCCAAATATGAATTGAAATATTATTGCATTTATGATCAATCGTGAATTTTCGACGGTGGATGTGGATTTAGACCAAGGTTAGTCTTTTAATTGTTTTTGTTAATTTAATTTTCATTATTATTAATTAAGTTATTTACAATTACAATTGTTTGCATACAAACCCCCCAAATCAATGTACGAAGTATAAAATATTGAATTACATACTTTTCGTAGGATCAACCCTTACTTCCACTACAGATTAGTTTTAGAAGTTAATGTATTACTTTTAGGTGCTTATACATATTCAAAATTACTTATAAGTACAAAAGTTCTTAAAAATTGTAAGTATTTAATTATAATTAAATATTTCACTTTTTAAGTTAAAAACTTAGATATAAAAAAATTTGTATGAGTAAAATATCATCATTTATGAATAAAAAATTTCATAAAAAACTTATAAACTGAAATTTCACTAAATTAGATGCACATTTACTTCATATTATTCACACTCACTTAAGGTCCGTTTCGCATTGCTTTTGCTTTCCGTAGAAAGATTTTTAGGAAAACTACTATAATTTTTGTTTGAAAATTAATTTTTAAAAACACTTCATATTTCAAAAGCACTATTATATGAAATCACGTTGAACCAACTTTCTCTAAAAACTCTTCTAGGTCTCAAAAGCTCATTTTGACTTTTTAAAAGCCATGCTAATATGCAATTATATATATTATCTTTTTCTAAAAAAAAAAAAAAAAGGAAGAAGAAACTTTTAGAATTGGATAAACTCTATTAGCATGTTGATCCCAAAGTATTACATGAGTGAAGATTTATTGCAGCGTGTGGGCCTCGGTTTCTTAGGAAAGTCATGCTCTTAGGACCGAACAAATAGAATAAATTTTATGCGGTAGGATTTAGTTGAAATTACGTTGTAAAGGGATTTATTTAGTATAACAAATTCCTCTCACCTAGTCGAAATTTTCTCATCTTATATTCTTTGATTTTGATGCTCAACAAAGAACGAGAGGAGAAATAACTATTTGGAAAGAATATATTTTGAAATTGCATGCTTTCCTCCCTTTGGTGAGGTATTTATAGATTCCGTTCAAGGTTTTAGGGGTAATTAGGTCATTCTACAAATAGTAGATAGCTTTCATTTAATAGTGAGTTTATAACTGATTCTGTTATACATTCACGTGTTATTCACTATCTTACGTGTCCTTTGTTTATTTATTTAGAAGTTATGTTTTAAATATTTAACAATGTGTACTTCAATAACGATTCCAACACAAAATTTAAGGGGAATGGGTCATCTTTTTTTTTTTTTTTTTCATGAGCCTTTAATAGCTTTTGTTTCTTTCGCACATCTTTAAACTTTGCTTAAAAGGGGTGGGAGCTCACAGACTCAATCAGTGATGGCAATGGAGAGGTTCGGGACGGGGCACCCTCGCCTCGACCCATGCCACGCCCCACCCCGCCCCGCCTTAGATGGGGCGGGGCTGGAGCTAGGCGTGGGTCTGCCCCGTATGTTAGTTTTTATTTTTTTTCCAGTTAAAATATAAATTCAAA